GACTGGCTGCTCTGCTTCTCTGATCTCTCAGCATTTACCCTGATGCCTGGCTCTGGGTTTTTATTATTAAGACAAATTCAGACTCTTGTTATACCTTTGCTCTACTCACAAAAGGTCAAGCAGCCTCTCTGAAGAGGCTGGATCTTGATTGTCTTCACCAGTGTCTGCCTCCAGGGCTCTGTTGCTCTCCTAAGGTCCCAGAAGGCTTTTGTTCCCAAGTGAATAAATAAAAGGACAGTATGATCCGGGGAGGGGGCTGACATGATAGCTCACCATTCAAGAGCAGTAGCTAGCTGCTCTTGTGGAGGACCAGAATTCATATCAATAAAAAATAAAAACAAAGCCAAGTGGTGATGTTGCTTGTCTTTAATTCATGTGCTTAGAAGGCAGAAACATTCAGATTTCTGTGAGTTCGAGGCCAGCCTGGTCTACAGAGCAAGTTCCTTGACAGCCAGTGCTACACAGAGAAACCCTGTCTCAAAAATCCTAACTAAATGCATAATTAAAAAGTTAAATCCCAGCACTTGGGAGGCAGAGGCAGGTGGATCTCTGTGAGTTCGAGGCCAGCTTGGGCTACCAAGTGAGTTCCAGGAAAGGCGCAAAGCTACACAGAGAAACCCTGTCTCGAAAAACAAAAACAAAAACAAAAAAAAAAAAGTTAAAAACAAGTCTTTTTTTTTAAGAGAGGATTGAAGATATAGTTCGATAGAGGGCTTCCCTAGATCCACTCTTGAGAACTGCAGATCATCATCACCACCATCACCACCACTACCGCCATCATCATCATCATCATCATCATCATCATCATCAAGGACTGGCAGGGGCAGCTCAGCTGCAGCAGCCAAGCATGAAGGGTTTGATCACGGGGATCTGCATGGTGGAAAGAGAGGGAAAAACTCCTGCAAGCTGCTCTGTGACATCCACACTCACGCCTTTGTACACTAGTACCTACACACACACACACACACACACACACACACACACACACACAATTAAAAAGGCACCACGGTCAAGATCTTTAATATCAGCACTTAGGAGGTGGATAGAAGGTTCTCGATCACCTCTGCTACACAGCTTGTTCAGGGCAAGTCTTAGCAACAGGAAACTACCTTTAAAAATGAATCAACTAATTTGGTGGCACCACTCACCATTTAGCTAAATAGACTGTATGATTGTTGTTCCACTAAGGAGACTGCCTGACATAGTTCTCATAACTTAGCTCTCTTTGACTGTAGGTCTGTCGTTTGGCTAAGGAAACCATGTGACAAAGTCCCAGTTCTGACTGAGTGGACACAGCCCCACTTCCTCCTTTACTTTATTACTTACAAAATAAAATCATTTGTATAATGGTTTTTGGATTCGCTGGCTTGCTCCCTTTGCCCTCAAAATAGTGATGGTCTGAGATGATCTGGGAAAGGAAATAAGATGAATAAATTTATTGAAAAAAGTAATACAAAACCTACACATTTGAAAGTATTAATATTGATAAAATAGCTGAACAGGATGTTCTAACTAGACCCCAGAGATAGAGATGAAGCCCAAGATTGGGAAAGTACAAAAAAAAAAAAACCACAAATGAGTTTGGGAACATTTTTTGCTTATTTTGTAGTGAAGATAGTAATGCTTTTATAGATATAAAATGCAAATTTGGAAACTATGACTCAAGAAAAAAGATATGATCTCCCATTATGAGTTTAGAAGATAATAAAAATAAGAAAGATAGGAATGTTGCAGAAATTATATAGATATATAAATAGGATATCTATAAAAGTTTAAAATACATGATCGTATTCTTTGATAAGAATTTTTGTTTTGCTTATTATAAGTTAAGAGTTGGCCTTTAAATTCTAATAGTCTGGCAACCGTGACCATGAGGAAATGTTCAAGGCCTCTCCTCCCCCGCCTAGTTAAACTTTGTCTATTTGCTCCAGGAAATGTGACCATTGAATTTTATGATTATGACTTTTTAAGGATGTTTGATTCATGTTGGAAAAATAGTCACGTATTAGATATTTTTTAAAATGCAAATATAGACTGATGTAATCATTGTTGTAAGATACAAAAATAAACTCTGTGGCCCTGGGAAGAGAGATATACATATATTTTCTCCTATACACTGCCTCCCAAGCACTGTAATAAATAAAATATTCCTAGAGGCTCAGAAAAAGATTCAAACTGCTGTCCGGTTTACCTCTTTATATTGCCTGCTACATCCACCCTTCTCAAGTCCTGCTCTCTGCTGGAGCTGGTCCCCAGTACTAACTAACTAACTGACTAATAAATTTATTAATATTGCAAATTAATTAATCAATTGATTAAGGACTCTGTCCTCAGAAGACAGAGGAGAGAAGGAGCCATTGGTCCCAGGCCAGGCTGGCAGGTTAGAGGGGGGCATCTCTGGTGAGCAGTGCTCTGGGACCCAGGTCAGGGCTTGGTTTCGGGAAGGAAGTGGCCCTGCAGGGGCAGGGGCCCACTGCCTCCACTTCACAACAGCATCCCGCTGCAGTTCCGCACACACTACACTGCCCCCTACCGAGCACATGGAGGCAGCGCGCAATAGTTCCTGCAGCAGAATGGCCCCTGACTTGCAGAGCGGCAGGCACTGCCTTAGGAGCACTTGCCCTGCGTGCCCAGCTCTGGCCACGAGCCCACCTTCAGGAGCTCCCGTAGCACGCCCTTCAGCACGCGCTTCAGAGATCCCGTCAGCAGCAGCTGCTGGTGAAAGCGGGTACCGATGGGGATCGACTTTTTAGACGCCGAAGACTACTAGAGTGCCAAAGCCAGTCTTGGAGCCAGGAGCGCTCACCCGGAGGGGTCCAGAGACAGGATGACCCTGTCCTGACCCAGGCAAGGCTATAGAGGCTCTGAATCCCTTTGTTGAATACAGTTTCTGCACGTATGACACCTGCGTGGTCCTTGTCACTAGGGGGGTGCCCAGGACTCCCTGGATCTCCTCTCAACTGTCCTCTTTGGGCCCTTCAGGCTCACTAAGCAGGGGATTGGACAGGAAGGATACATTCTAGGCAGAAGGTCCCAAAGTCCCAAATAATGGGGAGAACTCCAGCAAGGTGGACCACCAAGGTCCTGTGGGAGAGCCCCGACAACCCCAGTGGCCCCCCAGTGGCCTCCAGTGGCCTCCAGTGGCCTCCAGCACAGCTACTGACAGCTAGCTACTCGTGTACATTTTCCAAATGGTTAACCCTTGCTGGCCTGGAACTGACTTCAGACCAGGCTGGTGTCAAATGCACAGAGATCTGTGGGCCTCTCCCTGGAGTGCTGGCATTCAAGACGTGCACACCACGTATAACAAATTATTTTTTTTAATTACGAAAGTCATTTAAGGATGGAGATATAGCTCAGTGACAGCTATAGCATGGTTGAAGGCCTAGATTCAATGCCCAATACTACAAAAATAAATAAAGTAACTAAAAAATAAGAGAAAATGGTAGTTTATGTCTCATGCAGAAATGAGGATTGTTTATTAAATCGTTTTTGCTTTTGTTTTGTGGGTTTTGGATTTTTGTTGTTGTTTGTTTTGGGGGGGGGGCGTTGGTTTGGTTTGGTTTGGTTTGGTTTTTTGAGCTTAGATACCATGTAGCCCAGGCTGTCCTCATACTCAGTGTGTAGCAGAGGATGGCCTTGAATTTCCTGATCTGGTCTTCCTGCCTCCACCTCTAAGTGGGATTACAGGCACAAGCCTTCACCTCTGGTTTTATGTGATGTTAGGGATGGAATCCAGGCTTTGTATGAGCTAGGACGGCTCTCTGACAACGGAAGGGTACCTCCAACCAGAGTGTGAAGTCTTCGCCTTAGCTTGGGGTCAGGGGTCAGACTTCCCAGCTAGACCTCTGTTCCTACACATGCTGTGTAACCCAGGACAAACTCCTTTGTCCTATGTGCCTCAGTTTCCTCATAGGTGGAGGGATGCACTGTCTTTCTGTGTAGCCCTGGCTGCCTGGAACTCGCTCTGTAAACCAGGCTGGCCTCGAACTCACAGAGATCCACCTGCCTCTGCCTCTGAGTTCTTGGATTAAAGGTGTGCGCCACCACACCCAGCCAAGTCTTCCTTTTGCAAGTGGGTCTGTGTGAATGTGAGGAGTGCAGATGGAGGCCTATCCTCAGTGCTTGCTGGCCGGGAGCTCCCTCCTCCCTGTGTCTACTTGGCTGATTCTCCCTCTTCTCTGAACACCCAGCTCAGATCCCATTGCCTCCAGGAAGAGTCTCTGAGGCTCTCTCAGCCTGCCTCACCTCTGGCGGGTGCTTCCACATATCCACATGTACATACCTCAGTAATGCAGGAAACTCAACAGTCACCAGGAGCTTCTGCATTGACCCCTTTGGGCAACCAGTCCCTCAGCTGGACTCCAGGCCCCTTTATGTGTGTGTGCCTATGTCCATGTGGCGCCCATGTGATGTATATGTTTGTGTGTGTAGGCACAAGCTGAGGCAAGGTACACACTTTTGTAAGTGTACGCATGTGTAGGCCAGACATTAACCTGGAGTGTCTTCCTCCATTACTCTCTGCCTTATTTTGTGAGGCAAGCTCTCTTTGCTGAAGATCTTGCAGATTTGGCTAGCTTAGCTGGCCAGGGAGCACTGAGGATCAGCCTGTCCCCACCGTCCCCCACCCCTGGATACAGACTCGCACCGGCTTTTGTCTAGGTCTCATTCTTGCACAGCAAGCACTCTCCCCAGCTCCTCCAGATCCCCCCTTTTGTTTTGATCTCCCAGTGCCAAGGAGAGCCTGGTGAGAACAAGCTCTTGGCAAATGGGCCCTGTTGCACAACCAGAGCAGTCTGGGACAATGTGGGACCAGCGGGGCACAGCTGAGTGTGTGCCAGGCACAGAGTGCAGCACACAGTGGTGGTCTCCGAGCTGACATCTTGGAGATTGTAGCCAAGGGCCAATGTAGGCGGTCCAAATCCTTCCTGACCTGCTCCTACCCTTCACTGCGGTTCCCAGAACCTCCTCAGACCCAAGAATCCCACTCGGACACAGAGTTCATGCAGATGCTGTATTTATTAGTGGGTTCACTTTAAGTACAGGTGGGTTATCTGACACAGACCACTTCAGCTTGGGTGGCCATCCGCTTTACTCTGTACAAGTCCCGTTTAAACTCTTCCACACAAACTGGATGGCCTTGAAGCCAGCCCTTGTATAATAGCCACAGAAGCCCTTGAGTACCTGGCCAGGCTTTTTAGGGTAATCGGAGAACTCCAATGTACCTTTTAAGGGCCCAAAAATCTTATCACGTAGTTCGGTAGTATACAAGATTATTTGACGTATAACATTATTTGTGTGTGTGCCATAGGCCCCATTGACATGTTCACCATCATTCAGTAAGAATTCCACAGGAGTCCCATCAGAAAAGCCGTATAGTAGACCCCAGTTGTCTCCATGTTTCACCTGGATACTAGGAAAGAGGACAAGCTTTGAATACTCACCCAGACACAGCCTGACTCGCCTCCCGGGTCCTTGGTGGCCCTCCTGCTCTCTTTTGGCTTCTTGAGACACACTAGTCTCTCACTCTGGGGAAGCTAGTCTCAGATACTGTGCTCTGCAGCTCATCACTCAGCCTGCTGGGGACTCAGTTCCCTCACATGCACAGTAGACATCATAAGCAGAGCAGAACTTGGGAACCTGCTCATTGAGACCTTCAAAAGGAGCAGTCACTGTCACCGGGAAGGTGACCCTGGCCAAGCTGGGACTTTCTCAACCTAGGTCACTTAGAAGACAGCAGCAGATCACAGAAAAGCAGGTGCCTTCCATGCCCCCAGGGGACTTCACCAGCCCCACCTACTGAGTTCATCAGCATCCTCATCTTTGGTATCATTCCAGAGCTGTCTCAGCCCTGTTCACACACTCTCTTCAATTTGGCTGACTCTTTCCTTCTCCATATCTCATGTGTCTGGCATCCTTCAAGTACAAAGCAGAAATCCACTCAGGCCTCAAGGAGGGTTGCCCCCTATGAAAGGCCTGCCTCTGGATTTTCTGCTTCCACCGTATCTCACCACTGATATTCAATCCAAGGTCCCCTCTGGCCTCACCCCTTAGACTCTGAGCTGTCAGGTTAGCTTTTGCTCTCAAGGGTTGGGACTCAGGGGCCCTTTGTGGTCAACTTGAGTAGGGAGAAGCATCTTCAACTTTCTTTGATCAACCCAAGAGACAATAGGACTTTCCAAATGGATTCAGCAAGAATAGGACTGTATTCAGGAGAGGCAGCTGGGGACAGGGACAAGCCAAAAGGTTTGGCTAGTGGCTCCGTGACTCTGAAAATCAAATGGCTTTAACCAGCCACTGGAAGCCAGATGGGGATTCTGTGGGAAGACACTGTAAGTGGACCATGTACTTATAGATGGGTTTCTGAATCCGTGGGAAAATCGTGACAGGACAGTGGTAAGGGCCATGGGCCTGATCATACTTACCCGATAATCACATTACGCCGAATATAAACCTGAACTCCTGTTAAGTTTTTCCCTTCAGGTATGGAAGTGCAGAACTGTGTCCCAGTTTTTATGCCATGGTAATCTGTGTGGATGAAAACACAGGAAGGAGAAAACCCACTCAGGCATGTGGAGGGCCCGGCAGCCCAACCTTGAAGCCAGGGAGGATTTGGTCTGTGGCAAAAGCAGGGAAGAGTCCCCTTGTCTTCTGGGTTGAGAGAGATGAGGTGGCCACCAGGGAGAGGGGCAAACTCCAGAGTTGACTTACCATCTGCGGAAAAGGTGGGGGTCCCCAGGATGGCAAAAATCAGCAACAGCAGCATGGTCTCCAGGTGAAACATCTCAGGGTCTGAGTGGAAGAGCACAGACTGCCTAAGTCCTCGACAGGGAAGCAGCTGGACGTCCGCCATGCCCACCCCTGGGAGCCGAGCACCTTACCTGGCCGGGAGAATTCACCCTGGGTATCTTGTGCCTGGACCTCCTTCCCTCGCCCTTATATGCTCCTGGAGTCCCTTGGGCCCCTGTCCAGAAGGAAGGAGCCACGGGCCACCAGAGGGACAGGAAGGAGCTGGTGGGGGGCTCTTCCTGGGGGAGTTCTCAAAGCCATCTGGGGAGGCTCCCGGACGCGCGGATGTTTGCCGACTTGGCACTGCCGCTTACATCAACAGGGCTGGTGACAGCGACAGGCCTTTTTTTCTATTGTCACCTCTGGGTTCTCTCTCCTGAGCACCTGATCGGAACCTGGCCTTAGAAATGGGGGAGCTTTCCTGAGAGCCCTTCCCCAGCCCTGCCAGGCAGGTTTCAACCAGCTATGGGTGACAGAACACCTGGCCTCAGACACTCTACAGAGCAGGCCCAGGCCTCCATAGGCTTAGGCAGCCCCTGGTCTGGCAGACTTCCCAGAGCCCCCACCAGCTCCCTGCTGACCTCAGAGAGCCGGGAACAACAATCTTGTTCCCTCTGTCCTGCTTAAGGAACAAGGGGCACTTAGTCAATAGTTGCTTGTCCTGTCACCCTGGTATCCGTGGTGGTCTCCCTCACAGGCTGGATTTAGGTATGTAAGGGACTCAGAGGTCATGGGGACAGAAGGACACACTAGACATAACGGGAGCCATGATTAGAGGCAGGGAGTGAGGGAGTGTGAGCGCTCTTGTCCAACCCAGCTGGCAGCGCTTGGGGCCAGGCTGAGGGGTGTGCGTGCGTGCGTGCGTGCATGCGTGCGTGCGTGCGTGCGTGCGACTTAGGACTGAACCTGGACCACCAATACATTTGGTAAATGCTCTACCACTGAGCTAATAAGGCCCTTTCTCCTCTTGTCTGCGCACGTGGAGTCGGGGGTACACGAATGTGTGTACACATGTCAGAAGACGTCAGGTCTCTTCTTATCTTTTTGTCTCATCCTGCCTCATCTTCCTCCTCCTCCTCCTTCTCCTCCTCCTGCTCCTCCTCCTCTTCTCTTTTAATTCTTTTAAGACAGGGTCTTTTATAACCCTGGCTGGTCTGGAACTCACTACATAGACTAGATTTACCTCAAATTCACAGAGATCTATCTCTGCCTTCCAAATGCTAAGATTAAAGGCCTGAAATTTTCCTATATTTAATTTTTTAAAAGTTCATGTATATTATTTTGCCTACACATATGTCTATGCACTAATTTTATGCATGGTGTCCTTGGAGGCCATAAAAAGGCATCAGATCCCTTGGGACTGGAGATGTATTAGTGCTGGGAGTCCAACCCAAGTCCTCTGGAAGAACAGCCAGTGTTCATGGCTGCTGAGCCACCTCTCCAGCCCTTTATTCCTGTTTTTGAGGCCATCTGTCACTAAAGCTAGAGCCCACTGATTCAGTTAGAGTGGCTAGTCCACAGGCTCCAAGGACCCCCCGCCTCCCCACTTCCCTGTGCTGATATCACAGCCACACCCTGCTGCACCCAGCTTTTGTTTGTTTGTTTGTTTCAGAGTTTCTCTGTGTAGTTTTGGTGCCTGTCCTGGATCTGGCTCTGTAGACCAGGCTGGCCTCAAACTCACAGAGATCTGCCTGCTTCTGCCTCCCGAATGCTGAGATTAAAAGCGTGTGCCACTGCTGCCCGGCCAACACCCACCTTTTTTATGTGGGTTCTGGGAATTGAACTCAGATCCTCATGCTTGATGGCAAATGCTTTACCAACTGAGCCATCTCCCTGTCACTTCCTCAAGTCCCGAGAGCCCCTTCTTTATCTGGATAGTGATATTCCTCTCCAGGGCTTAGGTCCTCTGTAGCTTGCTCCCTTTGTCTATCTATCTGCCCCTACTCAGTCCCTTCTTAAATGAAGACCCATAAAAGGAACACAAAGACCCATCTGTTTTATACCATCATTCCCAGACTTCACCTCAATGACTGGGGGAAAAAAAAAAAAAAACATTTGAATGACCTGGAGAGATGGGAGGGAGTCGGATAATAGAGGAAATAAAGGCTGTTTGATACCCCCTCTGGAGCAGAGAGCATCTTTAGGAAGGGTACCTCAGGGTCTCTGGAAATAGTACAAGGTCATGATTGTTGACAGAGTGTGGAAGTCAGGCTGGTGCAAAGCCCAGCTTCCCGCTTCCTGCTGGTGAGGGATGTAGTGGGTGAGCCTTGTTCTCTGCTGAGGGATGTGGTGGGTGAGCCTTGTTCTCCGCTGTGCTTCTACCCTCTCATCTGTCATGTGGAGAATCACAGAATCTCCCCTCTGGGTTGCTGTGAAGATCCACATAGATTTTTTTTTTATCAGATGCTATGCCGTGTAGGTCAAAGTCATTCTCTGGAAAGGATGAAGTCCTAGAAAGAACAAATATATGTCTCTAGGGTGACAGAGGGCCAGTATCATGGTGACCCCTGCCCTGGAGCCGTGGGGAGGAGCATGAATCCTCTCTACTTGCTTCCCTCACCTTGGTGAACAGATTGAGAACAAGTCTCAACCTCTGTCCACCCATTTTTAGTTCCTCTCATTCTGATTCATGATGCCCTTTCATGGTTTACATCATCCCTTAATGACAGTTTTTGCTGGTTTTTGGAAAAACAAAACAAAACACTTAATTCATTGGAAAATCATGAATAAGAATTCATCAAGCCAGGCGGCAGTGGTGCATGCCTTTAATCCCAGCACTCTGGAGGCAGAGGCAGGTGGATCTCTGTGAGTTCGAGGCCAGCCTGAGCTACAGAGTGAGTTCCAGGAAAGGCGCAAAGCTACACAGAGAAACCCTGTCTCAAAAAACCAAAAAAAAAAAAAAAAAAAAAAAAAAGAATTCATCCAAACAGGGAGCCCTGCATTCTGTGGAGACAATTCTCCATTCTCCATACTCACTCCCTCTCTTCCCTTCCATGCCCAACCACCGTCCTGAAACTGGCATTTCTGTTGCTTGCTTACACATGAGCCTTGCTTTCTTGAGTTCCTGTGGGTGCCAGCGTGCAGCAAAGCTTCCCCATCTGTCTGCGCCTTTGTCTGATGTTGCTGCACCCCACTCACAAGTCCACCGCTTCCCTACTTCTGGGTGGCCCCCATTTTCGAGTGAGTCTCCCCACTCACCATCTGCTTTGCTCCCGTCCCTGTGATTCTGCCCCTGCTTCCTGCTGAGGCCCTCGTGGGCTTACAAAGGGTTGCAAAGAATGGCCTCGTTTGTACACAGACTGGCCCTTGCCAGGAACGAGGGACACTGGTCTCATAGGATGACAATGAGGACGGGCTGCGGAACTAGGAGAGACCTCCATTCCCTAAGCCAGGAGCTATTAATACCTATACAAGGGATGGGAAGAATAGAGACTCAAAGGTCAAAGGAGCCTGTCATGTTTCTGAGATAAGAGTGCTTTTCATGCATTATAGTCATCAGAAAAGTTTAAAAAAAAAACAGAAAAATATTTTGTGACTCATGAAAATTTTAAGGTTTGGAGTGATGGTTCAGTGGTTAAGAAATGGACTGCAACCGGGCAGTGGTGGCGCACACCTTTAATGCCAGCACTCGGGAGGCAGAGGCAGGAGGATCTCTGTGAGTTTAAGGCCTGCCTAATCTACAGAGTGAGTTCCAGGACAGCCAGGGTTGTTACACAAAGAAACGTTGTCTTGAAAACCTAAAAAAGGAAAATAAATTAATTAATTAAAAAAAGGTAACATGAACTGCTCTTACAGAGGACCTGGGTTCTGTTCCCAGCACCCACAGCAGGTGGTTCACACTTACAACTCTAGCTCCAGGAGATTGGATACCTTCTTCAGGCCTCCAAACATACCTATACTCACATGAACATCCCCCGCAAGTGGACACACACAGGTACACATAATTAAAAATAAATCTTTTGTTTTTTGAAGACAGGGTCTTACTATGTAACCCTGGCTGGCCTAGAACTCACTATATAGACTAGGCTGGCCTCATAGTCGCAGAGATCTGTCTGCCTCTGCCTCCTCAGTGCTGGGATTTTTCTGACATGTGTACTACACACTTGCCATACCAAAAAAAAAAAAAAAAAGATTTCTGTAATCCTGATGCCTTCCTTGTCCCCAAGGTCAAGAGTTAGGGCACTTGTCTGTTATCTGCAGCTGCTTTGGCTCACAAAACACACAGTTGTGTTGTCTGGTCCTTCACACAGTCTTCTGACCCATAAACACCCATTCCTGACCCTGGAGCAGTCCCAGCCCTGTCCCTGGTCGGCTGGACAAAGGCGAGGTAAGAGGCCCTCTTCAATGGGGCCTAGGAAGAGCCCTCTTACCCCACATCTGCGCTTGGTTCTGAGTGCTGCGCTGCCTCCCTAGGGAGGCTCATAAAGGCTCAAACTCCACTGAGGGATGCTGCAGAGGTGAGCACCCACCTCCCTCGCCCTCCCAGCCCTCCCTACACCTCTACTCTGCAGGCGCAGTGGGGCTTGGCTGGGGACGGGCAGCAGATGCCCTCCTGATGCCCAGGAGGATCTCGGGGACGTGGAGGCGGAAGGGCCTAAGCTCTTGGCAGACACTCTCTGGGAGCCAGGGGCCCGGAAGGGAACACAAAGGGGGCTGTGTCCTGTCCCAGTCCAGCCCAAGGGCACTTTTGCGGGTTTGCTGTCACTTCAAGTGCCAAAAGGAGGGTCTGTCTGTCTGAGATTCAAGGAAGCACCCCTGGCGTGGAGGGTGGAGTGGAAGGAACAGACAGGGGCTAGCCTGGCCAGAGGGGGCCTTGCCCAGTGGCACAAGAAAGAAACATTTTCATACCGTTGGTATGTGGTAATGGCTGTCACACTTTCACACACCTACACATGAAAACACACGCTCACCCAGCTACACCCATGCTGAACAGGTACAGTCCTCACACACGCAGCTGGTGGTGGGGTCCAGTCCCCACAGAGTCTTTCTCTGTACCTCCTCAGCTGTAGAGCTGGCCTTGAGCCTACACTGAGGAATGCTCAACACAGGCCTTTTGTCCCTCAGGATCAGGACTCCCCCAAAGGGGGATTTACTGGGCATTTATCAACTGCCCTGGGCACAGCCCAGCCTGCATGGTGCCAGGGACTGGAACAATGAAGCCTTCTCCTTAGACAGAGGTGGGCCCTAAGCGGCTGAGTCCTTGTGTGGCAGGAGGTGGTCATAACGCCTGACTCTGTCTCCTGCCTCTCCTGATACAGGACTAGGAAAGACCCCTCTGGACACTCTGGATGAATGGGGTCTCCATCTGCAGCCCACTTAGAGGCAAATCCACAGCCCCATGCTGGCTGGCTACAGGAAGCTTCTGTCCTTACTTGGAGGCTAGATCCTAGGTCCCTGGCTCTGATCTTGGGACATTCTGGCCAGAGTGTGGTTTCTGGGGTCAAGGAGGAAGCTGGCTCCTCCACATATCCCCAGCTGATCCCTGGGACCACAGGAACCAGAGGAGAGACTGATGGGAGGATCAGAAGCCAACTGGCATGTCCCTACAGGGGAGAACAGAGGCTGTCCTTGTACGTGGACCTGAGTCAACGCTGCCGGGAAAAGACCCCAAGAAGCAGCCAGGACTGGGAGACAGCTCATTTCTACATTACTGAAATACCCAGCACCCTTCACCAAAGCCCCTGCCAGGTGCCTCTCTCTGTACTAAACATCCTTGCTACACTCTGACCCAGAAAGCTCAGCACTTTATTAGGCACCAATCGCATGTATTCCCTCATCATTAGCATAATTAAAATTCCATCTGTGGGCCAGTGAGATGGCTCAGTGGGTAGCGGTGCTTGCCACCAAGTCTGCCAACCTGAGTTCAAGCCCTGGGACCCCCACGACGGAAGGAGAGAACTGACTCCTGCAAGCTGTCCTCTGACCACTTCAGAATGCCAAGTGGAAGAGCACATTCGGATCAGAGCTGGGTGATAAGAGGCAGGACAGGCCCACCTCTGCCCTTGAGTGTGGGAGGGTGTACTCCTGCTCTGAGTACTGGGTGTTGAAGCACAGATGAGTTAC